CTACTTCCCACTTTCCAGAGTCCTGAGCCACCTGCTCCAAAGTCACCATAGTCAGTGCTAGCAGTTCTTGGGCTCCGGTCGCATCTCCGTTCAGGAATGCATCCGCCATCTGGCTGAGCAGCCACATAGTGAGGCCCAGATCTCTCTGACCAGAGTAGCCACCGCTTCTTTCCATGTACTTCGAGAAAAGGGCACGTCCTCCAAGGGCAGCGATCTCCTGAGGGACAGGCTCTGAGGGCCTGAGGCGCCGGAAGGCATTTTGTGACACCTTGAGGAAAAAGTTCCCTCGCCTCTCTGCCAGGTCCCTGAGCAGCTTGTCCCGTTTCAGCGAACCCTTCAAACTGAGGGCTGAGCTTGTTGCTGTCGTGCCAAATTCCATGCCATCCTGACCCGCCAAGTGAGCCACAAGAGTCGTCAAGGCCTGAGACTGCTGGAACAGAGCCGCAGAGAGTGCCTCTGGTTGTGGAAGAGCTGGAATGCCCTGTTCTCCTCCGGGGTAGTCTGGATCTGAGGGCAGGGCGAGAGGTTCGTCCACGTTCGTGAATTCCACGGTCTTCCGGGGCTCTGGGTTTGCATCGGCCAGTGGTCTGGACCTTGGCGGGCTGCCCACTCTGGAGACAAATCTCAGAGCGGATGGTCTGGGCGATCCTTTCCCCACCAGAGGGAAGTCCTGCTTGTGGGCCGGGGGCTCCTTGGATGAGGCTTGAGGGGCAGAGCTCATCAGGCGTTCCACCCTGTCTTGGCGCTGGGTCATAGCCTCCAGCTGGGAGGACATAGCAGGGAGCACCTTGGAGATCTCTGCTAACTGCTCGGCTAGCGTTGCCGTAGTAACCCTTCTGGGAGTGGAAACCCCACCAGGGGAGGCCTTCGCCTTGGGCTGCCTCGAGGAGGCCTTTGGTGCCGGGGTCACAGGCAGGGGGGGAATCTGTGTCTCTTCTGCCGAATAGAATTGAGTCCTTCCCTCTGTACCCCCTTCCACATAGGCGTAAGCCGCAAGAAGTAGGGGATTGGACTCTGGCAAAATTTCCATGTGTGGTGGCGAGAAACAACGGATGCCGGGTCCTTCTGTGACTGGGTCGAAGCCTCGAATGCTCTCCAAGATGTTCTTGTGGAAGTCTACCAAAACAACTGGAATATCTTCTGTGTGGGGTGTTTCTGTCCCGTCCAACTCCTCGAAGACAGCAGGCAGTGTCACCCTCGTCGACGGGCCTACAAGGTCGTCCATCGCTGCAAAAGCTCCAGCCTGGAGAACCTCCGGAGAAAAAGCTCCCTCTGGTACTGCAATCAGAACCCCCGACTGCCGGCTCAAAACTGCGATTGCAAAACTCTCCGACCACTCCCCATCCCATGCAGTGAGGTCCAAGCCCATCACATAGGTCTGGAGAACTCCTTGGTCCAAAAACTGAATCGGGCCACCTGTCGCCATCTCTACTGCTCGGCCTCAGGAAAACTAATTCCAGCGGCAAGGCAGTAGACCCTGGCCTCAGCTTGGCTTGGGAACGAATGGCTGACGGAGTTCTCGAAGCGTGGCAGGAGCTTGAAATACTCTGCCGCTGAAGAGACTCTGGTCGGTCGCTGAACGCCTGGACCCTTGAGGATGATGTAGGTGGTGGCCTGCAGTGCAATCTTTGGAGTAGGTCGAGGCTTTGGGATCTTGCCCTCCAAGGTGGCCTTTGCCCAACAACCGGCAATCCAAGCTCGAGTAGCTCGGGACTTGACGTCCTCAATGGTGCCACCCAGACGGCCACAAAGATCCACACAGTGATCAGGCAAGGGAGGGATGCTCTTCTCGACGTCGTGGTAGCTCGAGAAGTTGGTGCACGGGGCACCGGTGCGCTGATCTCTTTCAGCCTCCAATGCCTCAGTGACCAGGTCCCAATCGATAGTCGGTGGAGACCTCGGTGACCCTGTCAGATCCAGCGGATGGCCCCCTCTCTGCTGCGGCAGCAGCCCTCTCAAGATTGTCAGCTAGGCCCCGCAGAGCGCGAGCGGATGCTCGTACAGCCTCAATCAAGATGTGGAGAGCGGCCTGAGCGCTCATGCAAATACGCCGAGAGGCGCAATGAAGGGGTCGGAACCCGGTCGAAGCGCTGCCCAAGAGCAGCAGGTGGAGATCCCGGAGGCCCTGAGTGCAGATGGAGCCAGAGGACAAGGAGAGCCGCGGCCAAGAAGCCGAGGCAGAAACCTGTCACGAGGAAGCAAGCCAGGTAAAGGCTTGAGGCAGAACAGTGTGCTGGGCAAGCCAAGCCGAACCAGCTAGAAGCGCTCCCAAAACTCAGGAGTCGGAGGAGTTCCCCGACCCACGGCTGCATGAAGCTTGAGCGGCGAACAGGGCATTCTGAGTTAAAGGTCAATTATATATACAGTATATATATATATATACACATGCTGATCATGTATAACATGTCGTTCTTTGAGTCAAGTGACACTCCGCCAACCTTTTGTGCCTTCGGCAAATCCACCAAAGCCAAGGCCGCTTCAACGCACATCCGCGCCGTGTCCTGGAAACGCGCTGACCGCCACCGGCACCCACACCGGCGACCCAACGACCCGGCCCCCGTTGGCCGTCCGAAGCGAATCAACGACCCGGGACGTCGAACCAGCTTGATGACCTTTCAACCGATGGAAACAAGCCGCGTTCTGGGGTCGCTTCTTAAAGCATGCCGCATCATGCTGCATCCAGTGTTCCTTTCGTAACATCCCGACGTAGAAACATGTGAAACATATTGAAACATGCTGGGTACAGAGCACCAAGCTGGAGTCTCAAAACCACAACGGTTCAATTGACACTTCGGTAGCTTCACATGATCCCTTGTGATGCCACGTGGGGGAGCCCTAATTAGCTGACTAGCTCTCCAACCGCCCAACCGCTGCTCCTTGTAGCCCGGATCGGTGTAGAACTTCATCACGGCCTGTACAGTAAACGCTTCGGCGCTTGGTCACAAGGCTGTTTCGCGAAGAGCGAGAAGGGGCAGAATTGATTGGTGAAGTAGGAATAACTGGCTAAGTAAGGAGATAGAGAAGACCAGTCGGAAACGTCTGTCAATCTTTTTCAGTCTGCCTGTGGATCCAGTTCTCTTCCAGTTCTCTTCCAGCTCTCTTCCAGGTTCCATTCCGCCCCGAATTCGGGTGGGTGGGTTCTACCGGCGACTGGTCTCCCCCTGCGGAACGAGCTCAAAGCGAGGCTTTAGGACTGACGAGGCTTTAGGAAAGAGTATAGGTACCTGGAATCCAACTGACCCCTGTTTTGATAGGAAAAGACAATATGTTGGGTGGTTGGTGGTCCAAAACAGAGGTCATTCAGGTTCTAGGTATATGCATACTGCATACATCTGCATACTACCCATCTCATGCCAAGTGATCTATGGAGAATCTACGACAAAAACCGCCCAATGGATGGATGGTTTGCTGGCGATTACAACCCATCCAGTCATTAAAAGGGATGTTCTACCAGGTGAATTAGCCTTGGCTCAAGTCATGGCTCAAAGGAGCTTCACAGCATAAGTGGCGAAGAGGGGGAAGAGGACTACACTCTGACGAACACATGGTTACGTGGATGGCATGGTCCCTTGGAAAGACAACGTTCCTTTACGACTGGGAGTTTTCATGGGTTGTCCACTTCCATGTTACATGTGCTCGACGAAGATGGGCGCAGGCTGTCCCGTCACACGTTGGCGGAACGTTTCACGTCACGGCAGCGTTGCGGAACCGCAGCATGAAGATGAACAAATATCTCGCAGCAATGGCCTTGCACTTGGGATTCTTCTCTTTGGTTTCAGCATATCCTGAGCACGAGAGCAGCTGGGAAAAGGCCATTCATCCGAACTGCCAACTGGAGCAAAGACATTTGTCAACAAGGAACAAGTCGTTCTAGCTTGCAGGTCTCTGGTTTCTTTTGTCACAAGTCCACCTACTATAGGGATTAAAAAGTCCAACCTGCCAAACTCTCTGGACCCAAGAACACTCTCCTGTTCAGGCTGCCTTGCTCGCTAGCAGACATCTTGCACAACTTGGACAAATACAGACTCCAGAACTCCTGGATGACTTTCCAGAGTTCTTCCAGATGTCCATCAACAGACTTGAACAAAGAAAGAAAACACCCCAGCATTGCTCTCCACCCAAGCGTCCGGTGAGTGTCAGGAAGCCCTTCTCCATCTCTTCCGCACTGGGTCCAGCGCCCGGTTCCGGCAAAAGACCCATCTTGTACCACCACGTTTGGGTGAAGGGCAGGTACACCGAGATGCCCAAGGCCATGGTAGCCACCGTCGACCTGAGGAGCTGAGCAAGCTGCGTCGGCCTGCCCTTCGCTGCGCAGCTCGGGCCGGAGTTGGTGCCAATGAGTTTGTGTGAAAAAAGGAACAGCACATCACAACAGGGACAAGTACTGTGCCTTTTTTTGTTTTACCAACTTGTTACATGCAAAAAGACATGCATGTCTTTACGTACATCTCATACTGTACACTTCTAGGATGAGGCGACGCAGAATGAACAATGACCCCATTGATCTCAATCAATGGAACTGGCCCACTTGCTGGCAGCACACAAGCCAAAGTCGCTGCTCTCCAAGACTGCCTCGTGGTACTTCAGGTTCGGCACCATCTTCAAAACTGCATTGCCTTGGGCCGGACGAATCTTGGCACTACAAGTGGCTTCTTCAGGCAGAGTTGTGGTAGAACGAGAGTGGTTTGATGAGAGCACTCAACACCTATGAATCTCAGGATTCTCTTTGGACTTCTCTTCTCCTAAAGACATTCCAAACTTCTCCTGGATTCCACGGGAACCTCATACTTTCCCATCACTGGTAGGCCATCCTGGTTTAACTCAAACGACTCATGTTCAAACTTCATGGACACCCCCCGCCCGCACGCTCTGTGCGAGTGTTTCCCATGATGCCCACTTGCTTGTTCCTACCTTTTTCACCCGGCCGGACTAAACATATGCTCCCTTCTCGAGTTCCTTTCGTTTCCTTACCCCGCCATTGACAGTCTCCCCCCTTTCCATTACTCCCATCGATCCTCCTCACCCTCTCGCCCCCCAACATGGCGCCCCGACCCCCGCGCCGCCCGAGCCACCGGAACTCCGAACTCGCGTTCCACCGCACCCGAGCGGCTCCGACGGATGCCATTGGCCATGACCGGGCCCATGATCCAAGGACCGCCCTTCTGCTGGGCCTCCGCATAAAATTGGCTGCCTCTCGATGCGGACTGGGCTCACCAGGGTGCTCCGGAGGTGCGGCGTCGCGGCGTCGCGGTGGGGAGGGTCAAACCAAAGAGATCATGTGGGTTTGTATTTCAATAGGGGGACCTCAACCAATGGGGTTTAGGTCTGCTAAGTCAAGTCGGCACCTTATGCGTTATGCGGCAACCACATGCATTCGCCAACTGCGCGCACTCGTTGGCACGCCTGCTGCATCCGTGACTACAGCAAGTTGGTGGTACTCCTTTTGACCCAGACTCAAGAAGACGATGTCGTCCAGTTCGGGCACTCTACTCTATTTGCAATGAGATCCTTGGCAAAAGTCGATGCCACACTGGAGGCTGCAGATCTGCAGCAGCTGAAACATCGGACAGGGAAGCTTCACTTACCCCCACAAAAGGCGAACCACAGTGTGCCCGACCACAGATCAAGTGTAAACATGTTGGAAGGCCATCACATTTCAGTTACACTCCCGAAAACTAACATGGAAGTGGATGGCACCACCTGTTTGTAGTGGAATTCATGGTCTTCCGAAATCGGGGCCTTGCCCTCCACTGCCATGTTAGTTTTCGGGAGTGTAAGACTGTGAAGAATCTCTTCGTCATAAAACGCTGCAAAATCGTCCTGCGACTTAGAAGCAGCGCGAAATCGCCTCTGGGAAGATCCACTTGGGTCAAGCACTCCGATTTCCTTGGCGTTTCTGCGGCCAAAGCAACTGGAGGGTTTTGAGGAACAGGATGGAACAGGAGAAAAAGGTAACATGAAGCCATGAAACTCGCAAAACATATTTCTATAGAAGAGTCCAAGGCGGTGCTTGAAAGAATTTCATCATTTTGCCGCGCTTCCGTGGCAAGGCTACGCGGCACTGATGAACGGAACCTGTCTTGCTGGATGGACTTGCTGGATGCCAAACATGTCTTCCGGGTCCCAAAAGAAAGCAGCGTTTGCCACGCCACCAGCAGCATCATCTTCTTCCCAACCTTGCCATGTACCAAATATCAATATCTTTGGGGTACTGTTTCGGGTGTGTATATATATAATATATCATCCCATTAACAGTAACAGTGGATGATTATGATGATTATGATGATGATGATGATGGTGATGATGGTGATGATGGTGATGATGATGACGATGATGATGATGATGATGACGATGACGATGACGATGACGATGACGATGACGATGATGATGATGATGATGATGATGACGATGACGATGACGATGACGATGACGATGATGATGATGATGATGATGATGATGATGATGATGATGATGATGATGATGATTAGGTTGAAGGCCTTTCCCTGAACTAGTGATCATCTTTTACCCTATCTCTTACCCTTCCTGTTACCAGGTTACCAGTTTGAATGTTACCCTAGAAATTTCAATCGCTTACCAGTGGTTTGCAGAGGAAAACAGTCTTTCAGGGTGCCATTCTCAGGGTGCATGATTGTTTTCGGTCGTGTGACCCATCGTTCTTCTGCCCCGCAGAACACGACCTGCCACAGAGAATCTTCCCATCAGCCAGGTAGAGCGGGTCGAAACCCAAAGAGCCTTTGCTGGGTTTCTGCCGCATGTTCCTGGGCGATCCAGCCCGGCCGCGTGAGGATTTTGAACATCTTGCAGGTCTAAGAACATGTCTCCAAAAGAAAACAGCCAACTCTGCAAACAAACATGAACGAGCCTTGTTTGGTGTGTTCATGCTTGTTCTCCTGGACTGCTCAGAATGATTCTCTGATGCCTTTCTGGCCATCAACTCGTGGCCCCTCAGGCGCCCCTCTGCTATCGACCAGTCGATCAGTCGGCCTCTCCGTGACCGCTGTGAGTCATGGCACCCGCTATTGCCCCACAGGTCACCCTGGGTAGGTTGACCACGTCAGGGGGGCGTCAAGCACGGTTCATGTCAACCCGTCGTCAAGCACGGTCGGTCCGCGTGCCCAGCGCCATTGGTGTTGGGTATTTTCACCCGTGACCAGTGACATGAAAAGCGTGAGTGAAAGACTGTGTCGTTCGGACACCCATGAAAGCCACCAGGAAAAAGGGCGGGGTCCCACTCCCCCTGGAACCGACTCAGTCACCGACTCAGTCACCACACTGGCAGTCGACCGCTTTCAGAGGTGAGGTGAGAAATGGCACCACAGCAAGATGCCAACCGTTGGGGATTGTGCCATCTACCCTGAAACCACTGTATTTCTTCAATTCCAGGAACAAACCCCAGCCTTTCTGGGACGGGGTATTTTAGAAAACGACTTGAATCTGAAGAGATTTGCATCCGAGCAGATCTGAAAAGGGCGGCCGGTATAGAGATGATCATTTTAGAATTTGATCAAATTCCTCAATCTGTCTAAAAATCATCATGATAAAACAACGTTTTAAAAAGTTAAGACAAAAATACACACTGTGTTCCAATTTGATGTTGCTTTCTCCACTTCTACGGCGCTATGGACCCGGTCCGCTTCTCCCGGGAACGGACGAGCGGCAGCATGGCGGTGTTCATGGTTCCTGGCGGTGGCCGCGCGGAACTCGCGGAACTCGCCGCGGGACCCGTCGCTGCAACGAAGCAGGGGCAGTCGGACCTAGATAAAGCGATCTAGGGCAATGAAGAAAAAACAAGCACACTGTGCACACGAAGTTCTTGTTACATGGTTCAAGTGCTTGTTGCAACTGCTGCAGTTCGCATCAACCGGAAGTTGGTCTGGCCATGTTTCCACTTGACAGTTAGCCACTCATGAAACTTACCTGCCAGTCACTTACGTTGGTTGCCTGATCCTCCAGCCCCAAAGACCCCAAGGATTTCTTTAAACCCCCGACCATGAAGATGTTTGAAGATGTCTATCTCGATCGGTTGGAGTTGCTCACATGTCGGCTGCCGACGGGAGATCAAGAACCCCAACCTTGAATGCTCCACACCGGTGACCCAGTCGCCCACCCGGATGAATTCTTCAGAAAAGACTCGCGCCAGGTGTGGGTGTATCTCGGGGGCTCCGAGAGTCCCAGGCCCAAGTGATCCCGCCTCCGCTGGGCACGCCCTTGATCTCGCTCAAGATCTTGATTCCTCGCCCATCCCTCACCGTTTTGAGGGAATTGGCCCCGGAGTGAAGTCGGTTTTTGGAGCGGTGGAACAGTGGGTGACAGTCAGAGGTTTACCCAGGAAAAAAACCGTCATGACTCATATGCTTGCTCCCATGCAGCAACAGGTTTGCTCACCAGTGTCCAGTGAGCACGTCTTAGCCCATCCTCTCGATTGTGGTTTGGCCTCAAACGCCTTGACCCGTCTGAAGACAACGTTCAGACTTGCCACAGAGCCCAGCACCCGGTTTCGCTCGCCCCACACCCGGGGTGGGTGGGCCAGCGGTGCGACACAAAGGGCCCGGGCCCTTGGGGCTCGGGCCCTTGGGGCTCGGGCGCTCTGATAGCATCATGCCAACATGTCGCACATCTGTCCAGGAGCACGGTGGGAAAACCTGATAAGGAGGAAACCTGAGGAGAGAACACGAGAAGAGGAGCAGGGTAGACAAAGGTGACCGGTCACCCTTTGGGTTCTCTTCAACCACGTCAGCAAACACGATCAGGCCAGGTTTCAACTTGTGTGTTAGCCCGGTTTGAAAGCGTCGACAACAACGATGCCACATCAGAAAATCTATGATTGCTTGGACTTCGGAGACCAAACTCCCATACTCTGTCCATACGCTGTCCATACTCTGTCCAACTCCCTCCACATCTCCACGTGACATGCTCCAAACCACAACTCCCAAGGCTCCGACTGGTCTCCACAGCTCCAGGCGTGGGTGACCACCGGACCGGTGGGAACCCCCCCCTTTTCCGTGGCGCCCGGGTCGGTCGAACCGGGTCGGTCGGACAGCGTGTCTGGGGGGGTGTCCGGGGTGTCCGGAGCTCCTGTGAAGTCGGAGCCTAAGATCTTCCAGAGCTTCCAGACCATCAGATCCCAGGGCACGCAGTCCTGCAACCCACCGGAGGTAGGGAGGGCTGCTGGTCTAGTGCTGAAATGATGAGAGGGGGGATGAGAGTCGGGTCAGTCTGGGGTGGTTTTAGATGATGAGGAGCAAGAAAGATGTGAATGGGCCTTCTTCTATATGGCCGACCGAACTCAGGTTTTTCCGACCGAACTGACCCCAAAGTCTAACATCATCCTCGGGGGGGTAGCTGTTTCTTCAACATCAAACAAAACAATGAAGCATCAAAGACTAGACGTGTCAAGACATATCCATTTCCCTTGCCAGCTTCCGGGATCTGAAGATTCACCCTGCCTTGCTATCAAGAAAGCTTCGCCAAGGGCTTTGTTTCAGCCGCAGGGCCTTGTTTCAAGCCTTGTTCCAATCAGACTGGGCACTTTAAGTGGGGAGGAGTCTTGCTTGGCATTTCGAATCACCGGGGTGATTGACAATGTTGAGTAGAGACTCTGACATTTCCACCATCCTATGTGTTCGCCACAAGCATGAAATCTGAGTAAAGGGATAGCTATAGCTACTCTTTGGTCTACCCACACAAACATGTTTGGGCGGACATACCGTTTTTCCCCTTTCCCAGCCTCGAACAGTTGCAAACATGCTCAACAATGCTCAACCCAAATCATCCCTCTTCATCCCTCTGCGTCTGCCTTCGGCCCTCTGCGTCCCTCTTCGTCCTGCCCGCAATGGATCGCGATCCGAGCGCCACTCTGCCGCGCCACGGCGTCGTACTTCTCGATCATCTGACCTCTGCTCTCCCCATCTCCAGAGGAACGGAGGAAATCAAAAGGCACTGGAATCACTGAAGGCTGAGGATCTGAACTGGCTGTCAGGCTGAGATATCAAAAGGAGTATCAAAAAGGATTCCAAAGGCAGATGTGGAGATCTTCAACCTCCGATCACCATGCGGTCCTGAAAGATCAGGATGAAAGGAGGGAGAAGAACCCCCACACACCAAACCGAAAAAACACCGCAAAAAGGAGAAGTCTATTGTAAAGCCTAAGCCTGACAACAAAGCTTCTCAGTTAGTCTCCCACTTCCAAGTTGAGCCACGCATGAAGGTGCTCTCCCCACTGGTGTCGACATAGTCCACTCCCAGCTCGGCAGAGGCCTTCACGAGTGGCTCGCCGCACTCCACAAAGGGACCGATCGATGTGCAAACCTTGGCCCCAGTCACGCGTCACGCGTCACGCGCGCGCGCGCGCGAGACGCAGTGCGTCGAACGGACGGTTGTGAGGGTTTTTGGTGATCGGTCTGTTGTTGGATGCCACTCAAGTTCTGTTATATATATATAGTCACGGTTTAGCAAAATATGTTTCTGTAGAGCATCTCGGAAAAGAAGGAGCAATGTAAAGGATCCTTGGCGTCACTGTCAAACATGGTGGCGAAGACTTGGGACCATTGAAAAGCAACTCAAACACTGGTGCCGCGGAAAAACTACGAAAATACTGAATCATAGTAGGATGTGGAATGAAGTGTATTATCCATAGTGGGAGGTGGAATGAAGTGTATCATGCAGTATTCATCTAAGTGGTGATATATACATCTGAGTTGTGACAACAGCCGCTCGCCTCATAATTGGTTGAATTCATCACCCCTTTTCACGGAGAAAAAAGGGGGAAACTCCGTGAAGTTCCAAGCCAAGACAGCCGTCGTTCATGAAACTCATGTCATGCAGGCCACACACTTGGCCTTCTTCACCACCTCCTTGACCTCCTCATGTGATGCACTCAAAACATCCAGCACCAAAATCTCTGGCTTCGAGCTCGCCGTCTCAATGGCCTTCTCCAGCTTCGCGCGGCTGCGGCCGCAGATGGCGAACTTCACGTTGCCCTTCTGCAGCAGGTACTGCAGCATCAAGGAACCGGTGAAGCCGGTGGCACCAAAGAGGATCACATCGAATTGGCCCGCCATGTGGCCCGGGCGCGGCGGACGCGGCGGACACGGGTCGAAAGAGTGTTTTGACTCAAAAGGTCCAGCGAAAGCTATATGACATGCTTGGATGCTTGACAAGTTAAAACTCTTAGACTGCAATCCATCAGTTCACTGGCACATCACTTTCAGAGTAAGTTGAATGTATCTTTGTGTCGTCGAAGCGGCTTCGAGATAGGACAGCAGTGGCTTGGGTTGATCAAGTAGGGTACCGTGACGGTCCTTAGTTTGGGGGTGACAGCATTGTCTTCAAGAATAATACCTTGACATGGAAATGATGAGTGAGATATGTATCTGTAATTGAGAGAAGAACCCAGCAGTGGCATGCCCAACCCACTGCTTAAGCAAGCATAGCCATGTCTTCCAAGAAAAACACTACCCCGAACCATTTTGCACGGATGAAAAGGGTCGTGCAATTGGTCCCACAAGTTGCAGCAATTTCACCGCTGGACCTGAACCATCCTCACCATCGAACGCCCGCAGATGTAGCTCAATTCGTTCGACCCATTTGGGACTTGCACATGTGAGCTGTGAGCACCAAAACAATGACTTTAAAAGGAAAAGAAACAACTGATCGTCATCGGCCAGGAGGAAGAGAAAAAACAGCAGGCGTCCCACTGTAACATCGGAAAGAATGTCAGGAGTGCCAATTTGCTGCGGCCACACTTCAGGGCCGCATTCATCACACATCGCCTCGGTCATGTCGACCCGAAGTTGTTGATGTGTGCTGCCTGTCCACCGGTGAGAGCTGTGTGAAAGAGCGGTGAGAGCTGGGCGAACGGCCACAAACCGAAAGTGAAAGCACGACGCAAAAAAAAAAATCTCATCTGTGGTGTTATGCCTGTTATGCACCCTGTTGACCCTAGTTTGGATCTGAACATGCTCCAAACAGCAAACATGCTAATTCCAGCGTGCTGTTGGATGCCAAATCCGGTACAGCAAATTGACTCCATTGTTCAATACACTTTGCCCAGCTCTCCTACGTCACCCTAGAACCCCCTAGGGGATTCAGCCCTGAGCGCCGCACTCCATTCGAGAATCCAAAATGCTGCGGCCTCACGGGACATGGACAGCGGACCCATCCTCGCCTCTGAGCATCGAAACATCAAAGCCGGGAAGTCTGTAAGGCCAGGTCCTCCCCCTCCCTACTCAAGTAAGGTACTTAAGTAAGGTGACTAGGCGAGGTTAGCTTCTAGTAACTGGACGCAGGATTGCTCACGCTCGCACTAATGAGTTGGTTCCTAGATTTTTAGGGAAACCGGCACTCTAGTGGGTCTACTCTATGCTGATCATTTCTTTGTGTTGCATGAATTTGCGTGTGTTCAATTAGGGAGACGCTCAACTTCAACCACCTCTATTTTAGGGAATTTGTCCTCTTCAAGGGGAGAAACTCGGGGTTCATGAACGTGTCAACTCATCCCTTCCCTATCTCTTTCTTCATCACCCATAATGACCACCGCTCGCTCATCCGATCGCTTTCCGATCGTGTCCAGTGTCCGGGTGCCCTTTGATCCAGTGTCCAGTGCTTAGTTCCACGCTTGAAACGAAGCCATGGAAAAAACCGAATGATTGGTCTGGTCCATCTTCGGCCATGGCTGCAATGGCCTTCCCCTGCGGCTTTCTCGCGCAATGGCGATGCATCCCTTTCCTCAGCTGAAAAGAGATCCAAAGTTCCTGGAGATTCTCAGAGATCTGGGTGCATCTAATCATACCCAAGTCAAGTCCAGTTCGACTATATTTTGACCGGCTGAAGTAAAGGAAATTCCTTGACTCGGGTCACCTTAAGACCATTCTGTTTATGGTCTTTGACTCCCAGGGTATATGTTGTCAATAGAATAGAAACTCCTCCACACACTCCCCCAAGCAAAACACCACTCGTTTGAAGAACAACTCCGACCGACCGGGTAGGTCAGCCACGGAAGGCCTGCCTCCAAGCAAAACACACCCCTATCTTCCCAAGAGTCCCATTTGTATCCCAAGAAGTGACATCTGTGGTGCTGAAGGGTGCCTTTTTCTTCAGAAACTCTCCTTGTAAGCAGTTCATAGCGGTTCACTGAAGCAACTCGGCCCCTGGCATACATGTCGCAGACCCTCTCGTAGTTTTCCACCTGGCCAGTGTCAAAACTGTGGGAGTTGAGGGAAGAAGGGAGGAGAGAAAACGGAACAACAATTCCTTTACAGCAAGCCAAACATGTCTCACAAGAGACGACCTCGCATGCATGAAATTCAAGGGTTCTAGAATAGTACACCACATTGCATGTCAAATGGCTATTATCCCTAGACTTAAAAGGGTTGATACATACTTTGGTTGCAAGAAGGTAGGTTGTATAGGTTGTATCAAGTTCTAGGATGATCAGTTGCTAGTGGGAGCAACGAGATTCTTGAAACATTCTTACAGAACATAACGACCACCTGTTGGAAAATTCAAGATTTGAACAATTCACAAACCATAAAACATATATAAGCATACATAAGCTAAACTCAGATCAGAATTCATGCTCAATCCATGACATTCGTCCATGGAGTCCATATGTATCCACATGTGCGCTTTTACAAAAAAGATATCCTATAGTTGCTCGATGCATGCATATCGGAACTTCAAGGACTCTTCCTGGTGAGGATGTATCCTCCAGGCTTGACGAAGCAGTTCTGCTGAAATGTCGTATCAGTCTCCCACTGACAGAGTCGAATTCAATCCTGTCCTGTTTTGCGTGCTGTGTGTGTTTTGCACCCCTACCTGGATCAACGCCATTCATGTCGAGCAAAATCTCCCACTGTGAACCCGTGGCTCGCCCAACCACCCCGATTCGTCGCTCCGCTGGTTGCGGCACCGCGACGTTCCCGGCGAAGGCGAAGGATGGTCTTCTTGGAACTCGCCGGCTCGGCCTCCGAGTGGAAGCGAATGAAGGCCGCCAGGATCGGCAACCTCAGCACCGCGGCGCGGGGAACGCGCCACGGTCCGAACGGTCAGCACCGAATCGAAAAGGGAGGATGGGAACGGTCCAGACCGCCGAAATGCCTTCGACAAAGAGGACGTGAGGACAGAAACAGACACAGCTCCGAAACCCTTGCGACGTACCAGGTGGGCACTGCATGGCGCAGCGCTTGGGAGGTGAAGAAGCCATGACTGAAAAGTAGCTTTAAAAGAAGACAGAGTTCAAGGAAATGGGTTGTCCATGGATGTCCTTGGTTCCTTTCTTAATCTTCCGAAAGACCTTCAGCGGCAGATGGATTGGATGGACTGTGGATCTTTCTACTGCAGCTGATGCACTGTGACTGCTAGGCTATATATGACTATGAAGTACTACTGCTATATTATGACAAGATATGACAAGCATAACTTCTTGATGTTCCGAAACAGGTCCATTGGGTTCCCCGCAACTGTTTCAAAATGACAGGAGCAGTTGCAAAAAGGTTTTCTCAATGTTTCTCAGTTTCTCTGACATGAGCCAGAGCAAGGCATCCTCTATCTTGGTTTCTGAATGGAAAACCATCCTGGTCTCGCCAGGATGTGCCAGGATGCGCGACTGGACCACATCGTCTTCACCGAGAGCCGCACGACATCTGCTTGGAGAAGTGCTCATAGGCCCTCTCCGCCTGAGCTCCAGTTTGTAAGCGATCGAACAAACTAAAACCGCGTGAGCCCACCTTTCCATACAGTCCTCTACTAAACCAAAAACAATCTAAAACACAAGCTCTCTCCAAACAAGTTCCAATTTTGAATCCTATGGAGAAAAAACAGAACTCGACAAGCAACTCCCTCTGTTCCGCAAAGTGGAACGAAGAGTCGCGGATGGGGAGATCGATTCTTCTCGACGAAAGAACGCGTCGAGAAGGTGTTCGGTAGGATCGTGAGGATCGTGGGGCCTTTGGTGCTCTGCTGTTCCCCGAAGAGAAGAAATTTCAAAATTAAAACAGACAAGACAATTCAATGAAGCATCGAAGTTAGCATGACATCTTTTTAACTTCAGACGTCAGAATAAAATGGAGCCTCGAATCGACCTCTTTACAGTGAGAAAATCTGTCACGTGCTGATCCAAATCGTTTATCAATGCCACACGGTCGAAAGGATTTCATTGATGAATCATGATGAGCCAACCTGAGCCATATTCATCATTGGAAAGAATATGAAAGAATCCAATCAATACCACATCCAGTTGGCTGAGGACTCCGGCCAAGGCGAAGTTCCTGGTCCTCAACAGGTAGTGCTTTTGGCCGTTTAGGCCGGTTTCTGCCAACACGTTAGCAGTTTGGCACAGGTTCCTTGGCGATTCCTATGTGCTTTCCTAGCTTTTCTGAGCAAGTCCTATCCTATCACAGAACTGTCAAAAACGGTAAACTGATGTAAACCGGTATATCATTGACATCATACTATACGTATCATCGTTGCCGGACATGTGCAGGAGCTACACATCCTTCGTGGTGAAATAGATGGAATGCGCTGGCTGCTCTGACCTGTCAGGTCGGAAGGATCTGAGTCCAAAGCTGCTGGCAGCACAGGAGCAAGGCCAAGCAAAGTTCAGGTCCTGAGCGGCCGAGTCGGGACAAGGAGCCATTTTTCTGCCAATCACCATGTTTTGGGTTTAGGGTTTAGGCTTTAGGGTTTAAAGGTGGAACATCATGGAACAAGAACGTCTGCCAGTGACACGTCGTTGACAGTCCTGGGATTGGTCCTTTCATTGCAAAACGCTTCACCCTAGGCTTCCAACCACCATTGATTTGATAGGCTTTGTCAAACCACCAGTGTTTTACGGATGTTACATTACAAAACCAGGTCAACCATTTCCGGTCTTGGAAGTCGGTTCTTTTTCAGAAACTTGCAGACCTATGCAGACCTCATTTCACATTCATTTCACTGATCCCTTCCAAATTTTTTGAGGTCCCAACTTGAACTTCAACCCAACTCACCGAACCGGCCTGCGTCGGGCTTCTTCTCCAAGGCCTCCAAAAAGAGCTGCTCCACTTTCTCGTCGCTTCCTGGCGTTGTGAAGAAATCAGGAATGAAGAGAGATGTTGATGTTGCGATGTTGGATAGATGTTGATGCTGTTGATGGAAGAACTTGTCACAGTGAAAAACATTCCCCACACCACCCAGAGACACTGCCGAAAATCCCTCCGCAGGCGAATTTGGGTGTCCAATTCAGTGACCCTTGATCACTTCCTTCACCCCCGTGGAGTCAACAGAAACAGGGTAAACCCAACAACCACCTATAATTATAATAGTAAATACATGTAAATACCTCCTGTACAAATCACTCTCGATACCTCTAACAGCCAGCTCCCCATTCAATGGGTCACCCAATGGAAATACCAAAATATCTCCTCCGGTGCCTTGTTTCAACTTAAAACGCTCCTTCTCTTTCTTTCCTCAAAGGGCATCGCTACTAGTAACAAGAAGCTACGAACGGGGCTGGCCTTACTACTAGGAGCGTTCGGACGCTACGAACGGGGCTCCGGGCATCGCGACTCGAACGGACGCCTGTTCCATCCATCCGGGTGGCGCCTTTGTAGCCCTTGATGAGCATGCCATAGGTTGACTCAGTAAAGGCCTCGGGCATCGGATTGGTGTTTGTTCTGAGAATGGAATGGTCGCAACTCGCAACTGCTGGAACTGCTGGAACATGGAAAAACCATGTGTCTTCTGGCATCAAGATGCATCAAGATGCATCAAGCACCAGAGAAGAACTGTGTGGCAACTGCATAAGGCTGCGCTTGGGCAAAGCTTGTTCTTCAGTGAATGACCCGAATATATGGCATTGCAACTAGATTGCTTGCTGCGATTTGACCACACGACCGACCCTCTTTGCGATCCCATCGTCGGCGTGCTTCCAATCACTGAGCCCACCACAATCTCTTTTTCTCGTGCCAGTTGCTCCACCTGCACCGCCGAGTGCCATGCACCGCCGAGTGGTGCGGCTGCGCGTGCGTCCACCTTGTGCACAAAAAGTGGCAACCATCCAATCCAAGCACGCACGCACAGCACGTGCTTGCCAGCACGCGCAGCACTGCTCCGCGGCACGGAACCCCCAAAAAATGGCCCCCAGACCAGCCCATCAGCACCCCAAACCCACCCGCGCCTGACCCAAGAGCTCTTCATCCTTCTCTCGAACAGCTTCGCTGACCATGAGATGCACGCCCTTCAAAACGGCATGGACGACCGCACCAAACGACCAAGGCAGCGAATTCACGCGAATTGGTCACGGATCAGTCTCACTGAGGGCTGAGTTTGCCAAAAATGGAGATAGAGAAGCCCTTCCAAGTAAAAAATCCAAATCGTAACCCTCAATCATCAGTTTCAAAAGATTGGGTTAGAGTTTGAGGATTCTCACACCTGATGCAACATATGCAAAACGTCTCTCCTCGCAGCTAAATCCTCTCCGCGACCAATCCATTTGCCAGAGTAATGCCTCTGGAAGAAGCCTAAATGCTGCCTAGAAGTGAAGGTGGTGGGAGGCCATCACACCAAAACGTCCCCACACTTGGACTGCCAGGAGTGCCAGGAGTGCCGAAAGGAGTTTTTTCAGCCAAAGATAGGACGAACACCATGTGAAATAAACGCCACACTTGCCTTAAGGTTGACTGTTGATGAATAACATCCCACCAAAATGGATTCTACAGGTGTTACTTTCATATGAGGGAGGGGGGCTTATTCATTAACAGTCCTTCTCTATCCACAATATACGGATTTTGCCACAAATGATGAAGTGAGGAAGGGAACCACCATGAGAACAACCATGAACAACCTACAGTGGCCTACAGACCCTCCGGACCCTCCCCTCACCAAAAGCCAGGCCCAACCACCAACCACGCGTTCCGCTCGCCACGCGAAACCGCTCGATTCCACGCGAACCATGGCCACGCGGTTCCCGTGGCCGCTCTGGCCACGCGGGACCTCTTCGGAGAGGGGCACGGACGCCAGCTCGGGCAGAAAGCGCTTCAGCTCGTGCTCCTGTGGCTCGGTGCAGAACCAAGCGGCAGAGGGGCGGGCCTTGAGCGTTGGGGGGGTGGCGGTTGCGGTGGCGGTTGGTGCCAGTGACGAAGCCATGGTGGTTTGACCATGGTACAAGACCCTGGGGAAGCAATCGATAAGTTGGCAATTTCACACACAACATGGAAACATTGGTAAGTATGGGGGGGCCAAGCAGGGAGTGTTTGTCATATAGTGTTGATCATAATGTGGTCTTCCAGTTGACCAAATCCCGCAACATCTGTGAATGTGGGACGTCTTGAAAGCCATTAAGTGTCCATTAAATTGCATTAGCTTCCGGTTCGCCACTGGGTGACAATCCAGGAACTGACAGCAAGAACAGCTCCGCGTCTCACGTCGCGACGCGTCGCCCAGTTTCTGCAGCACCGGAGACGGACACCCGGTGAGAGACTACGCGGCGTGTCCTTGCAGGCCATGTCGACCAGCTGGGCGACCTCAGGCGTTTAGCCCGAAGTACTGACCAATTCCGGATCGAGACATCACCTCACAGGTCGATGTGAAATGTCATGTCAGTCGACCCAGAAAACACCAAGAAGGTCGTTGATGATGGGTCCTGGTCGCCTATTGAATTCAATATCTCCGCTCGATGGTCCTGGGGAGGTGGAAGAAGGTCGGACATCGGAAAAGGGAGTAGGTCATCTACACATCGCAGTGAGTCAACCACACAGAAGAAGCACTCAAATTGCTGGTCTTTTAGAGCTGACGTCCATTTGATCAGGAGCTCAAGCTCATACTAGGGAGCATCTGAGCATCCCTGTAACAGTGGATGATGATGGTTATATTATATACTAAAGGCCTTATTAGAAAAGAATCGTGATTTGCTTCTTTACTGCCGGCTCTGCAGGTAAGTTCGTGCAAAAAGAGTTATTTGCGCACCCATGCAACTGCTTGGGCCCCCGACAATCTGCCTGGGAGCTGTGGAGGGCCCCACATGGCCTCAGCAAGCATCATGACGCGCCGACCGGATACACAAAGATATGACCTATAGGCAACAGAAATTGCAGCATAGACTAGACCAACCGGTTTCCCATACATTCTTGTTGCGAGGGATCTACTTTTTGATCTATCTGGAGGATTTTGGGGGGGTCTATAATTATAGAGCAGACATCATGTCAATATGGCCATGACCGTGGCCATGCCACTTCTGAAGCGATGAGAAGCCCAGAAGTGGCCATGCGAAGTCTTGTGAGCACCGAGCCGTGGAGCCACCGATCTCCCGATCGAACGGAAGGAGCGGTTGCTCGCGGTTTCGGCAAGTAAGAAGATGGTCTCCCTTCTCCCAACATGCCATGTTTCAAGTCTTCACTGAAGCCATTCGATCTGCCATTCGCCGAGCGCTCGGGCCGGTCCACAAGGCTTTCAGCTCGCGAAAGGTCTTCAAGGCCTCGGGAGACTCGTTCGGATCCGAGCGACCGTAGACGGTGAGACCGTAGAGAAGAACAAACAGACTGAGTCAGACTGAGTCAGACCCATCAGCCATTGGGCAGATGCAAAGGTCCCTTTGACTGTGAATCTTTTTGGAAGTCTTGAACAGTGAAGAAAATGAATAGGGGGCCAGCTAATTAGCTACCAAGAGAGGTTGAACAGCCCGGCCTTTGCCCATCCCATCCTATACCACTAATTACAGGGTCCGAACGTTCTGGTCTCAAAAAACCTCTCTTGGTAGCTTGGTCGAAGTCTGAACGTCGTGGTAGTGGACGAAAAAACCTGTCCAAACAGAGAACCGCAAAAAGCGCGGCCAGCTGTGCGAAGCTCCGGCGGCATCCAGGTCTGGTATCGGGTGGGTTCGGTTTGGCGAGTGTTGAACATCAAGTCAAGTCAAGAAGCATAAATTTTAGACTAAGTACGTATATCAGTTGTGATATGTTGTGATGTATCAGTACTTCCGAGAAACCCAGTCCATCAGTCCATCAGTCTGTCAATTCAACGCAAGTCAATCCTTGCCTCTTCAAAGTTCTCCGTCTTCAAGGCGGTCTTAATGATCACGATCGATGCACGTGTGCTCAGAGCCACCTGCTGGGCCGCAGATGTTTGTCGATAGAAAACCATAACAGCGCGTATGACTTGGGTCTGCTACAGGTAAGTTCGAGACAGACCCAAAGTATGACCATTCCAACAAAGGCGGTGCAAGGCTTGGTCTTTTGGTCACAAATGGTGGCCCCTGATTGATTCATGTCACGTCCTCCCTGGCAGATTGAACAACAAAGACTCGTCCCAAATCCAGGTGCACACAATCCAACTCGTCTCAAATCCTGAGAGCTTAAAAGCTCATGAGGAACATGGAGGAACATGGAGTGTCCATGATTCACCCTCTTACACTAAAATTCCTGAATCGTCCTGAATCATCCATTCAATTCCACCATGAGAGCCGCCCTGAAAAGTACAAACTACCGAGAGCATTGCGGCGCTGACTGACCTTGCATCGTGCCGAGCGGAGCCATCGCAGAGGAGCGCCCGACTGGAGCCGCCTTCTTGGCCTTGGCTTCCGCCACCAGCTCATCGACCTTCTCAAAATTCCTCATCCTCGGACGGCGGAGAAGGCACGTGCGAAAGGAGCACGAGTACGCGCGCGGGCAGTCGAAGCGGTTCACACCGAGATGTTCCTTTTGCGGGGCAGCAGGTGGTTCAAAGTTAAGATCAATGGGAGTCATAAGTCATAAGTATGAGTCAGTATGAGGTTGTCTCTTTGTCTCAAAAAACACAGCAAACAATCAGGTGTTCATCGGCTTGGCATTGTTCACCTTTTCTTGCGTGAGGCCTTTCTTGCACAAAAAACATACCCTTCGTGGAAATGTCCTCGAGCTTGTGCGGCTGCAATGGGTGCCTACATGCTATAAGGCCGCACCTACGCAAACGCTTTCGGAGTAAAATTGGTCGATGCTTCTTGGCTGTGCAAAAAATACTAGCATTTTGCTTGCACGATTGATCTAATGCTATGGAGTAATGCCTCTGCAGCACATTGATGAGTTCACCTTTCTATAATGTCCTTCATGTGCAAAAAAAAGTAACCATTGCTCAACAACTGTGTTACTCTACTTCTGGATTCTTAGGGGAAATCCAAAAATACAAGCCCCGTATGAAGAGTCCAGTCTGCATGTTTCCCGTCGGCAGTCACGTTAGCTGATGTGGTCTTTCGTAACGGATGCCGACAGAGCCTCCGACCGAGCGTCCCAAATAACAAAACGGACTCACTTCGTAAAAGCCACAGACGCCCTCGACCACGTGGTACCACCCCGAAGGCTCCCCTTTTGGGCGAAGGTGATTTGGGTTCCACCAGCGACCTGGATCGCCGTGGGAGATGTGCGCGACCACCAATTCGGTGACCCCACGTGAAGTGCATGTTCATCAGGATCTCATAGCTGCGGCTGTCCAGCGCAAAGCCTCCCGGTTTGCATGCGCTGGAAGGGAGAAGAGCGAAGGGAGTCCGAGGCTCATCGAGGTTTTGATCTTGCCCTAAAACCACAAGGAGCTATGGGCTATGGTCCACTTCCATGATTGTTTCAAGTACAGTATGTCTTGCAAATTCATCCAGCCAAGAGCTAACCTTCGGCTCCTGTTCAACGTCTCAACCGAGAAGGGAGCTTCCTGAATGCCCAACAGAAAGCTCCCATTCATCTCCGCCTGCTGGCAAGCTCTTGAGGAATGCCGCCACGAAGTCTGAATCATGACCTCATTCGAAAAGAGGCAAAGATCAATGAAATCAGCCAGACCACCAAATAGAAGATCCCGATTCCGATTGCGTCATCTGAAGCAAGAATGGCACCTTGCCAGCTTCTGGGTCCAGCCCAGGTGTCTTTTGTTGCCAGTCCCCGCACCACAACCATGCCGATTCCGACCGTGAAACGGTGCGTTTTGTCCATGCTTCTCCGCGTCGTTTCTCAGGCCCACGACGTTTCGCCAAGGAGTCCAGGAGATCCTCGGCAAACGAGAAAACGACCCATCGAACGCATCGTGGAAGTGCATCAAACTCCTTAGTACAAAGCTCTCTCTTGGAAACCTTAGCTCCCAAAGTCGAGCTAAGGGACCGTCTCTACAGCCAGCGCCTCGTGGACGGTCCCCAAGCTGAAACCATATCTTCCCAACGAAGCAGTTTTCAAAGGGGAGAATCAGTTCTATAGTTCTATAATGTTCTATACCCAGACGCTCCATGTATGCCATATGCCTACATTGGGGTGGTTTGGGGGGGTCAATGTAGGCATATTATGGCATACAATGGAGTGTATGGGATATATCAGTTCTTTCTTCTATTTCCCGAACCGTCGAGGGGTGTCGTTGCCGGCGGTTCGGTCTCCCTGTGTGAGCTACACACTCCAATCCGTTTGTACCCAACATGTCTGATCTTTTTCAGACCACGAACTGGGCGCAGAGCACGGCGGGAACTGCACTCCCCTTGGTTCCCTGAAAACCTGACGATTTGAGACCCCAAGACCCCTCCATACGCTCCATATGAGGGCCCAGGGTCGCGTCTGGGTGGACAGATTCCCCAGTTTGCCCGGCTTCGTCGAGGAGAGTGTGAGGTCCGAATTGGCTTTGACATCTCACTCTTTCGGGGTCTACGTGTGTGGTTTCCGTGTACTCGACGAGATCGTTCAAACGACCCGAGTACAAGGGACCGCGTCTGGGACTGCCATAGGACTGCCGATCAGTTGGGGTGGTGCCAGGGGGGTCAAGGGGGCGGCAGTCCTATGGCAGTCCCATGGAGTGTCTGGGATTTGGCGGCGCGGATCCGCATTTGAGTTCACTGGATCCGCGCGGATCCAACACGGCCGGAGAACCGACGCCCCGCCCCCCGCAGGAGGTTCTCCGAACACGGACGGGTTCCGCCGTCGACGGGGAACCCGCATCGGAGAGCGATCGGACGTGCCGAGGCTCATTGATGACTTGCATCTTGCAGGAGCCTTTGCTCGTGGGCATCATTTTCGATAGGATTCGACCATGTCGAAAAGACTTCTAGATCGAAATATTTGATTGCTCAGCGAAGATAGTGATGCTTTCTCAAGAGCTTAGGCATGCTTGGGCTTGGTGATCGCCACAAAGCCTTCGGGGATAGCTCTGTGTTTTCGTCACTCTGCCTTGAACGCTGTTGCAGTGCAGGACATTATCACAATGGGTGGCTATTTAAACCGGGAGAGATAAACCCTGCAGGGTGCCTGGAGCTGGGTAGACTGGCCTCTGGAGTCGGAAACGACGCTCAAGCTCACGCATCAAGCTGAATGCGGGACAAACATGCTGGTCCTCTAGACTCCAGACGTCTTCGGCTTGAACACGCTGTGCAGGTATGCAGCTTGGAAGATCAAACATCAGTCTACAGAAAAGGACCTAGAGACCTAGAATTGACATCAAACATGGCCAAATCGGTTTAAATCCTCCTTCCTACCTCACCAGCTGGGTGGCAATCCTCCACCAGTCGGTGCAATCCCGTCACCAGTGTTTTCTGCTTTCTTGGCGACCCACCGTTTTTGGAGAACCCTTGGGTTCTGTCTGCGGAGACCCACCACCAGTTCCACCGCCAACCGCTGCACCGAGCTGCGATGCTTGGCGAGGTAGGCGGAGATCTCTCCTTGGCGAGCGAGCCGCTGAACGGGGGCGAACTCGGCGGGCGAAAACGGGGCGAACTCGCACGTGGCGCGCAGACGTCGCGGGGTCTCATCAGCTCGAAAAAGTGGCTCAAAAACAAGGTGAAGACCGATTGCGAATAGATCGAATAGTGTATTTGAAACTTGATGAGGAAAAAGAAAAACCAATCAGGGGCGTGAGTCGTGAGTTTGTTTGCTAAAGGCAAGCCCCTGATACTTTGCCCAGAACCATGCCATGTTTGTCTGCTGCCCAGAAACTCACGATGTAGTCTCCATCCTGTGAAGAGTGCCGCAAGAAGAGTCGCAACGTTCGCGCAGCGTTCGACCAAAGGGGAGGCTCCGAATTTGTGGAACATGAACTTTTGGTTGCCTTCCTAGTGCAAAGGCCGCACCCCTGCACAACATTTGCACCATTTTAAAGGCGGTGGGCTTGCTTTCCATTTCACTCCGTAGACCACTGTTAATAATTAAGGGACCTGCAGAACCCACATGGAGTTGCTTCACGTGTTTGAAAATCCTCTTTCTCATGCCTGAAGCTTTATGGGGTGTACCGGTGTACCATCATGGTGTACCCCAATTCTTCATTCGCCAACTCCTCGCCCACGCCGCGACCGCGCAAACCCCGCGCCTTCTTAAAACGTTGCATCGCCTCGACGACGTGCGCCTCGAGGTGCGAGGTGCAGACAGGTCAACCGTTCAGAGGATGATGCTTCTTGTTACTACTAGTAAGGCACTGTTACTAGTAGCGATGCACTTGTTCCTAATAGCTTCTTGTTACTACGAATGGGGTATTGAATGGTATTGATATCAAGAAGATCGTGGTTCTTATCATCATCGCATCGTGTTCCAACACGATGTGTTCTTCTGTGTTCCTTCCACCACCCAAAATTCAGCCGTTCGTACCACTCTCCGTACCACTCTCCGTACCCTTGGGTCCACAGGACAAGGCGGCCTGGCCTGGCTTTCCTGCCGGTCCGTCCGGTCTCCGGTCCACGGGAGACCGCGGTCAAGGCGTCCGCGCCAGAGGGACATCGATGGACTCGGGGAACTTCTTCGCAGCGGACCAGCAATTCAGAACCTGCCAACGTGGAGCGGCGGGGGCGCATGGCATGAGTCATGCCCTTGGCATCCTGTGCTACTATAGTAGTTTCGTGTTACTATAGTAGCAATGCCCCTTGTTCCTAGTAGCTTCTTGTTCCTAGTAGTAATGCCCTTGTTACTAGTGGGCGGGGCCATGGGATTTTCTTGGGCAAACAAACAATGCACTGCTGCGGCCGTTGCGGTGTATTGTGGCCACTTTGTTGGGGCACTGGGGTTAATAGAGGTAAATAGTGTGCTGTTGGGTTAGCAATGCCAAATGCTGCTGGCCTTCGAGAATGGGTGAACTGGGTTTGAAGTCGTTGATTCCCATACGATTAGTCCGATTCCCAGAGCGCAGCAGGATGCCACGCAAACTGTGCCACACACCGCTCTCTTTACAGCGAGAATGGCGGGCGTCTAGACCCTGGAAAACACGTTGGGACCTGTCCTGAGGCTGCCAGGAAAAATAACACCTTGCAAATCATTTGGACTTCTAAGAATGTGAAAGATCCACAAACCTGAGCGGCATCACTCATTCACGTTGCCACATATTGCCACATATTTCTTGAGCATCCAGAATCTCAGGAAACACTAGGAAACTAACCATCTACTTGAGAGGAGGGAGACACGAAAGGTAGGACAGCGGGAAGAGAAGAGAACGCGAGAGGCAGAAACAAAAATGCAATGTTCGACATGGTGATTTATCCCCTCGGAGGCGACCTTTCGTAAATATATGTTCATATATATGCACTCTAAATTTTCAAACATATGCTCTCGAAATGTTCAAAAAGATTCTTAGGAAAACAAACTTGCCCCATGGCTCAGATCATCGGTGAGCATTGAATCGGAACATCATAGGATTTGAACTATCCTGAAACCATAAGAGGCTCACGAAGACGCTCCCCAGGAGAGAATTGACGTGCTTCACAAAACAAACTCTAGGTATGTATCCCCTCGGGGAACACCTTTCGTGATTAGAATTGCATATTCACTCTTTCTGAATGTTCAAAAGGGTTTCAACTATCCTGAAATCATGAGAGGCTCACGAAGACGTTCTCCAGGAGAGAATTGATTTTAGAGGGGGGGGGTCTGTAATGAAAAATCAATTCGAGGGGGGGGGGGGTTGAATTGAATGATCAATTATTAGACCCGGACTCGCCGACACTTGCTTCGCAAGTCAAACTCAAGGTATCCCCTAAAGGGCTACCTTTCGTGATAAAATGCAAGTGATTATGTTAAACTTTCTGTTCAACCTCTCCATATTGCGAGTGTTTGCTTCCATTTCTTCGAAACCCTCGAGTCAACAGCGCGCCGTCGAAATGGTCGTCGTCCTTCCCCCGACGAAGGCCCCCGAAGGGGGCCTGGCGGGCGTTGTTGGAGCGTGAGGCGTCGGAGAAGGCCAGCTCTACGTCCTGGGACGCCAAGACATCTGTGACGGTGCTCAGGATTGCCACCAAGAGATCTGAGCACCTTCATCCTGAGCACCTTGAGATCCACTGGATGAATCTGGTCGGATTTCCCTTGACGTTGTCTTGGCGGCCACGGCGCCAAAGGAAATCACCATCTAGTAGGGTACCAAGATGTAGCAAGATGTACCAAGCACCCTAAAACCACGGTGGGTGTTTGGTACACCAACACATCAAGGATCCATCAATTTGGGTTCTTTTCCTGCGCAAAGAGACTTGGTCGATTTGCAACTAGCGGTGTTCATCTGTGAAAGGAAGCCGCGTAGCTCTACCACCAGTTGAATTGACCCAAGCCAGTGCGGTTGGAAGGTGAAAAGCATCAAACAGCTTATGTTTGCTGATGTGAGTGTTTCCTTAAGGTATAGTTCGGCCCAAAATGAGTTGACATGGATGAGCCAAACACAAACATGAAGATATGGAACCAGCAACAAAGCCCATGAAACCATCCTCCGAGGGCTCGGAGACAAAAAACCAAACCCTCCGGGACGAAAAGACACGACGACCGTCCGATGTCGGCCGGGCCATCGACTCGATGTGCGACGACCGACGTACCGGCGTCGGTCGCCGACCGCGGCCGTCCTTGGCGGAGGTGAAGTGCTGCGGAGTGAAGGTCGTTTCCTCCGCGGAAACGAACTCAATGCCACCGGTGGCGGAGTAGAAACACGAGCTGCGTAGGGATTCGGCTCGGGTCGGTCGTCATGGTCATGCCTCCATTCACACCCAGGTGTTCGGTGAACTCGGCGTGTGGGTTTCTCACGTAGGGTGGTTCAAAAGGGAAACCAAAGAGATAGGAACATCACAGGAGAGCTGTGAATCTGATTCCAACAAGGTGAGGGTGGCGACTGTCCCAAGCGCCTTCTTTCGACCCCCAAAAAGCCTCAAGAATCCCCATTCAATTCACAGGATGCTTCGTCTCTTCTTGCATGGGCTTCCTGCTTAAGCCAAGGCCAGTTTGTCTTGATGAATTTGTTCTCACGTGAGGATACATATCATTACTAAAAATGGTCAGAGTCTCAAGTTTGATCGATCACACGAAAGCAACTGAAGACCTATATCTGTGCTCAGCTGTCGAAGTCGTGCTCAAGCTGCCCACTAGCTTCAACGCTGTTAGAGACGATAAAACATGGAAAAAACAAACAAACACTCCGACACTCCCTGCAATATTCATGGTTAGGTGATGTTACGTGGATGGCATGGCCTGCGAAGGATGACCATTTCCCTCTACAAACAAACAAAACGGTTGGTCAACTCCCCTTCATAGATGGTTCCACCAAGTGTACCTGACACCCAGGGTGGCGGCCCTTTTTGGCGCCATCCTTGACCCTTCCAGACCCTTCCATCCGCTCCACCAAATCCAGGTCCGGGTCCTTGCTTCGTTTCGACTTGGAGGGAGTGGAGTTGCCAAAGAGGAGGAAGTGCGCCTGAGGGTCCAAAAAACCGAAGTCCAGTCATGGCAGGCGGGCCTGCGCCCGCCACTACTCCAACACTGCACTCAGGAATGAATTCAAAACAGTGCTCCGCAGTTCGACTGCAGGAACTAGGCGAGGTGAGGAACGAGGCCAAACGTGGCCGAACGTGGTGAGGAACAAGGCTCTGCCAGTTCTAAGACTCCATAGCAGAGGGTCATGGCATGTGGTACCCGGAGGTCGACCCAAATGTTCCAGACCTTCCATGTGGAGGTCGAAAACCGCGCGGCAAATGGTGGACTGTGCTGTGTGCGTGTGTGCTCAAGTGTGTGTCCATATGGGTTAATGTCCCATCTGTTCAACATCCGTGTGGTTCCGACTGATCAACGAGCTTCTCATCCGCCCGTTGTTGTGGCTTCCTTGGAGGGTGATTTCTGGAGCTCTCCACCCCCAATTTTGGGCAACATGATCAACTTCAGCAATGGTTCGTCTCATTGGTCACCAAGATCAGGTCTCCGAGGTCTCCCATGGGGTCTGGCATGGTGTGGGTGTGTCCTACGTCTTTGGTAGCCTAAACGGACCCCCGCAGCGCAACGAGTTGGTGGGCAAGATCCGAACCTTCTGGTCCTTCTGGTACTAGTGTGATTCAGCACCAGGCATGGAGCAAACACCGTTCATAAAAAGAGAAACTAGTAACTCGGATGCTGACATTGGGATGCTGACATCTCATGTGAATGATGTTGGTATTACCACACAAGTGATGCTTACCAACACATCACTTTGAACACCTCAGGCTGTCCATGGCGGTCCCAGTCCGCGAGCGGAGTCTGAGCTCCAGTCCAAGAGGGCAGCCAGGAACAGCCCCAGCTCCACTCGCGCAGAGATCACAAAGGCCCATGCCTGCCACGAGTTCTGTTTTTTTCAGTCGCAACATCCTTGCAGTCTTCCCAAACTGGCAAGCACTGGTGGCTAGAATTTGCTGCAAATTGCTACAACCTATAGAATGGCCAATAGCCCCGTTCGTAGCGGCCGTTCGTAGCGTCCTTGTTCCGTTCATAGCGATGCCCTTGTTACTACAACCTAGAAGAGCCTTTGAAAAAAATCACTTGGCCTTTCATACCTTGCCCACACGGTGCCCGGCCGTGTTCCATGGAAACCCGGTGGACAGGCCAGGCGGCTCCGGCGGAGGCCTGTCCAAGTCCGGCGAAACACGCTGCGCGGCGTCCCAAATGGTCGGCCTGAATAAAGAAGTCTCCCTCAACCACGGGCCTCAGCATGCATAGTGAAGGTTGATGGCAATTCCCATGGTCTTCATGTTCCCATGGTATTCCGTGGCGATTGTATGGCTGTATATGGCTGTCATACTCCTCGTTCTGGCCAAGACGATGTCGTAAAGTGTTCTGAGGCTGGTAGATTCTACACGTTTAATTGTCTAAGCCTCGGGCAACAAAGCTCATCTCACACTTTTTCAGACAAACACCCACGTTCCAAGCTTCAGACTCTACGTTTCATACATCATCATTGAAGGCTAGATGGAGGGTGTGTGTGGGGCAAGGGGGTCAGCAAACATCACTTATACGATCTTATACGAAGCTGGTGCATCAAAAATACCTTCCACGAAGTTCTGCGAAGGTTTTTGGGATTTTGTCAGTTTTCCTACTGCACCGTTCCACGAAACGTCCACGAATAGCCCCGGGTTCCACGAATGTCCCGCGCCTTCCACGATGTTAGTAGAACAGGTTTGTGCAAAACTCTTTCTGTGCACTACCCTTCTGTTTGCCTCTGAATCACACATTGTTTTTCACATCGTCCATATTATAGCAACAAGCATTAAGAAGCTTGGCCTTCATCTCCAAGAATCAGTTCTGCTTCAAACTCCAAACACCCATCGGCTGCCAGTCGAGCTTTAGCCTGGCCTTTTGATCCTGTCTTAGGGCCACCAACCGAGCGTTGTCGAATCCTTCATAACCACCTCTCTGCACCGATCCTCCGCACGCACGCACCGATCCTCCTCCGCACCACGATGTGAAACGCACTCAGCTCCCGGGCATGTTGCTTGTGTACGAACTCGAGTTCATTGCTCAGGTGCAGTGTACGCTGATAGGTTCGCCTCCCGAATCCCGGCGTTTCGCTTCGCCCGTGGAACACTGAGAAGTTCGTGTTTCGCCCTCGCCAAGCATGCCCAGTCGGATGCATTGTACTGTACGTGTGTTTGGTCGGATAAAAGCCGATCAAGAAAAAAACAACATCATGAACACGCGAGGAAGCAGGTGGCGTATTCTGGAAGAGTAGTGAGTAGTTGAAGGCACATGTCCTGGATCATTCGGTCGCCCTCGGCGGCAAGCCGAGATGGAAGCAAACCACAGGACTGAGTGAGAGATCTGAGAACTAGACGTTCGCCCTGAGGTGTTCTCATCGCTAGCGACCCACAGAGACGCTTGTGACTGCCGATGCCTCCGCGTCAGCGGTGGCTAATGATGATGCAGTAGTAACTGTTGGAGCCTGGCGACCCGCTGGCGGCGCGCTTCGGCGGGCGGCGGACTGATCGTGCTTTTTCAAGAGTTTGGACACCGGAAAGGATGAGAACGAAGGGACCAATTCAGCTGTTTGCGCTTTTTGTGAAAAAAAAATACTTTGTTGCCTGCCATCTTTCTTGGGAGGCCCACCCCATGGGTGGGAGCTCATAGTGACTATAGTCGACTTGCCCTCTCCACTTCCACACCCGATAGCCGGAGGCACCAAATCAGGCTGCCATGCGTGGGTGAGCGGGCAGCAGGCTGAATCGAGCCAAGAGCGCAGCGAGGCAGAATTGAGCTTGCGCGATCGGATCGGAAGGAGGAGCACTTCGTTTGGGGACGTCTGCCCCCAAAACGTAGACCCTCAAAGAAGACCATGTCTGGGGAGCAGTTCGTTTTGACAAATGATAAGAAATGAGCTGTGATGGAAAAACGCCTTCACACTTGGGAGACTCTTCACCAGATCAACCTGGACCAGGAGCGGCATGCTCGACAAGGCGAAGCTCTCAAAGATCATGTTCACCATGGAGTAAGAACTAAGTAACAAGTCTGCTTCGCTACTAGTAACAAGTGCATCGCTACTAGTAACAAGAAGCAGGTTGCTTGATGTTGCTTGCGTTGTTGCATATTACTTACTTTGAAACAGTTCTTTACAGCCAGTTTGGCACAATCTCTCTGGATGTCAACCATCACTCCTGCACCTGCCCGGCCATGGTTTTGTGGACGCTTGATGTTTGACGTAAACACAGTGCTTGCCAGCACCTCAAATGCCCCCCTCCGCATCACCTCACATCCATTCTAACCCGCCTCCATATGCCTCCATAACCCGAAGCCATCTTCTGAGACCATCGCAAGTTCGATCCTCAAAACTCCCCTTCCTTTCCATTCCCGGACCATACCTGGACTCCGGACCCGGCTTCCCGCACCCGGCTTCAGCTCCCAACAACTGCGCTTCGCAGCGGCGTCTCCACGAGACCATCTCCCGGTCGTCGCCCGGTCGCCCTCGCGCGCGCGCGCGCGGTCGTCTCGTCGTCTGCGTCGTCTGCGTCGTCTGCGTCGTCTCGTCCTCCAAGAAGCTTCGACTCTGCTGCTCCAAGTCCGCCACGTCCACCCGCACCTGGCCGCGGCGTCGCGGAGACGCAGCAAGCAAAAAAAGCTGGGCCCCGCTGGGTTCAGGGTGCTTCCGGTGCTTCCGGTGGTTCGGTGGGGTCTGGGGAGTTTGGGAACAGGAAACAACAGGGAACCGGAAAGGACGGTGATCAAACACGAAAAACATATCATGCTTCTGCAGAACTTCTAAACACATCTAAGCACTATGTTTGTTCAATCACAAAAAACATATAGTTAGCATATGTGTGTGATGGCCACTGCAGCTGCGGTGAAGCCGCTTGCGGCCCTTTTCTTCCGCTGTCTCTCAATGGGAAAGAAGCTCAAGATGTGCAGGTGCGACTGGACAGTGTGTCTTTGAATGCTGTCCTCGCGAAGTGTGCTCGGATTCTCTTAGAATCCTTGCCTAAGATCCCGTAAGACACAAAATCCACGGGCGAAAAGGACTGTGCAACGGAAAATGGCTGTGCCAGGCTGGCATGATCGTAGCTCAAGGCTCAACAATCAGGCAAAGTGAAAGAACGCAGCCAGTGTTGCGCCAAAGCCCAGCGTGGCTGCCCCACTCGAGGGAGCAACGCACTGCACCTCATCGCCAATCTCCTTGTTAGCCTTGCAGGAATCTCCGCCACCGCATGTACTCCACCACTCTGGATCCATCGTCTTGTTGATGGGTGTGCTCTCAGGGCACACCACTGTCATTACTGATGGCGTACCACCGTTGCTGCAGGTCACATTGGCCGAGGTGCCTGCTGCAATGGTGGAGGAACCATCGAAGGTCCAACCTCCAAAGCGAATGTGGGCGTGCACATGGGCATGCCGGCAGTCCAACCCCAGGATGCCTGCAAGGGCTGCAAGAAAAGCGGCACCAAATGGACCATGCTGAGGCTTGCAGCCACGAAGACAGACTTTCCGAGCATGGCTGAGATGACGTCGGCCGATCTGGGGATGTGGCGCACTGGGCAAAGGCTTGAGCCATGCAACAATCAGAGGGTCTGTTCTGAGTTGATGATGTTCAATTGTTACATGGCGACGTCACATAAGGAAAAAACTCATGCCACACACATTAGTAAAAAACGTGTAATTACTCTATTCACCTTGGACTCTGTCTTCCTTGGACTCTTACTTCATGTTTCTGACGCTCGACCGGCCACGCCGCTCCGCACCTCCCGCCGCTCCTCCGCCGCTCCTCCGCGCCGCTCGGCCTGCGCGCACTCCGCGTCGATCTCCTGACGCTCGCGCTGCAGCTGCTCCGACTCCTCGCGCTGCGCGGGAGCGACGTCTGCCGCAAGGAAGTGGCGAACGGGTGACTTGGCAGCGGGGACACTGCGGTGGACTTGGTGGCCGGATTTTAGAGATGGAAAACCCTTTCTGAGAGGGGGATTCACTCAAGAATAGATTAAGTAAAAGATCTTCCTATGAGCAAAACCAGGATTTCAGGGAGGATTTCATGAAGCCAATCTTCCGAAGGAGGCTTCTGCTTTCCGAACCCGGGGCGATCTCTGAGCAAATTCATGCAGATTGAGTGCGTCTGAACATGAGTGGCCTGTCTGTGCAGCAAAAAAAACTACCCCGAAATGCTTTACCCTCGACCCTCCTCTACTACTTTCCCCTTCTTTACTGCACTGGTCTTGAGATCAAGAAAGGAACATGAAGCCTGCCAACCTTGCAAGTTGTTCAACAACTCTCCCCAAAAAAAGGAAGCACGAAAGCCCTAAGGCGATGACACAATGGGCAGGTGAGGAGGCGATTCCTGACCCAGGCTCCTCTGTTTTCTTTCCAAGCAGATCCTCCAGCTCCTGCCGCACCGGCACGCCGCACCGCCCGGCGAGGTCCCGCCCTCGGAGACCGCCACCGAGCGTCAACGCGCACGCCGCGCTGGGACAGCGGGTCGTTTTCGGAGGCTGCGAGCGGGTGGGACATGGTGGAGATGGAAGGGTGGGACATGGTGGGACCGTTTTGGGTGGTGGGGTGGGGTGCCTGGCCTCTTGGGTGTGGTGTTGGAGGTGAAAGCAGCTTCCAGCTGTTTTCCGAACTCCCAATCGGGGCAGATCCACGAGCCAGTTGGCGGAGCATGAGTAACTGTTCCTAAGGTGTCTCCTCAAGTGGCTGGCCTCCTGAGGGATTGTCATGGTTTTGCCCTGAATGAATTTAGGCCGTACAAATGACCTCAAGAAATCAAGAAGGCCTCCACTCCATAGCACAGCTCCACTCTCCTCAATTAATCAATCACTCTCAAGGCCCTCGATCTTCATCCCAAAACCAACCCACCGTCACAGACCCGGTCACAGACCCGGTCGTGGCTCGGTTTCCGCCATCCCGTCGTCGGGCCCTCCGACTCTCTGGTGTTCTGTATACCCTTTGGTCGTTATGGTCGTTGAAAGCTATACAGAACTGACACAGTATAACCGTCCCTCCTCGGGCTCATCTCTAACCGCGCACCTTCATCCGCTGCTCAGAGATCATTCTTTGCTCCGTGGAGGAGGAGAAGGCGAACTTCTGACACAGCGTGTGCAGGAGCGAAAAACAAGTGCGACAGTGTGCGACACGGATGTGCGAAGAGGATAGAACCGAAGAGGATAGAACCACGGATGTGAAAGACAAGGGATGTGCCACACGGGACAAGAAGAGGGACATCTTGATAAATGGTGTTTTCGGGCTTCAGGATGATCAAGATGAGAATGATCAGGATGGGCCAGGATGGGTGGAAAAGTGAGTGTTTGATTCAAGAAAGCATGGATCACAAATGGATCACATGCCTGATTCTTTGCTGCAGAATATGTGGAAGGATGAATTCGGTACACAACCTGAGCAATGTTATACAATTTCCGATTCTATGCTGGACAGTAGGGGGAATAGATAAGTCCACCCCTTTCGCACAGAACTGGTTGAAGAATCCCTTGTCCACTTGTTGATGCTTGGCTTTGGGAGGCTTCTTGGGATCACGTTCTGTCACAGACCCAAATCAACCTCTGGTCGACCAAAGCAAACAATGTCGACTCCCCCAAACTTACTCCACGTCTATCACCGTCTATCACATTCACCTTCTATCACATTGACCCCATCGACCCCATCGACCCATTCTGTCTGACGGAACGCCGAACTCACCCATGTTCAACAACCGAACAAAAGTGGCCCCAGAGCCCGAACATCACACCGAACATCACAATCAGCACCGCCCCGATCCGCTCGGGTTCCGATGATCTCTGAGGGATCGGCGGTGATGTCCCGGATTTGCCTCCAACGAGCCCAACGGTGGGGAGAGACCGAACTTCGTACGTTGGGGCAGCGTGCAAGCGTTGACGGTGGTAGTATACAATGACATGGTCTTTAGTTGGTCCTGCACACTGGGCGTCGAAAAAAAAGCCAAGATCTTCTATGTTTGCTCTTGGGAATGACACTCGAAGTACGTATTCAGAAACGACAGATTCAGACGAAACGGTGTCGTTTGGCATTGAAACGTGTCCAGTGTCCAGCTTGCGATCCCAATGCCACGGCTGCCACGCACTTTTTCATGTTAACCTTCTTTTGTCTTCCGGCGGCGCCGCCAGGGGGAAACATAGCTATCACGCTCTACCTACAAGGTCTCTTGAAAAGCGCAAGAGAGTAGAAACTGCTTCAGGAGAAAAGTCAAGTCCGCTTCTTGCTTGGGCTTTAAGGTTCAAGCTCAGACTGCTGTGAGTACTTGTGAGTGACCATCACGATGCATTCAGTCAGATGCATTGTTTGGGCAAAACAAAAGAAAAGAACCGGACTGCCACGAAAGCTTCGGACTAGCAGACTCTTTCAGGACCCAACAAACAAGGAGTAGACCAAGTAGACCAAGAACATCTGCGTTGTTTTGTATGTGTTCCGCCCTAACCAAACCCGCGGCATCGTTCTTTCCACCCCAAGCCAAACCGGTCCTTCGGGTTCGAATGTCACGAACGGGGTGCCCGAACGGTGTGCCCGTTCACGCAGTGCCCGTTCATCATGAGAGAGATGTTCTATTCTTTGGATGAAGGTGTTCCTATACCTCTTATTGCACTGTAGATGGTTAAACATGGATCGAAATCTACAACTGCATGTACCTATCAAAAAGCCCATTAGTTCAAGAGAACCAAACATTGCAATTCCCACCATGACAGCCAGCCTCAGGTTTACTCAAACAACTAGATATACACCGTTGCAAATGAGGGAAGCATTGTATGAGAGGGGGTACAAGACCGCAAAGGAAGATCACGCTATGATGGAGAAATACTATAGGCAAGAGAAGAGGGCCTAATCCTATGAATGGAAACTTGAAAATAGCAGGAAGATCTTGCCAAGAAGCAAAGAAGCAGTTCAGTTCTTTGAAAAAGAAGCAACAACCTGGATATTTGCCCAAGAAATTGTTTATCCCTCTGAGTTGCTTCAGAATGATTTGCCAGAATGCTTTTCTTCGCGAGCAGCGAGATCGTGCCTCACTTTCAAACGTGCCCCACTCTCAGTTGTGCAATCAACCCGCTTGTTGATTCCTTTCTCTAAAATTCTTCTTGTCCCTGTTGGGCAAAAAGAACCGCCTGACTGAGTCCTATGTTTCACCTCTTGTGGCCTTGGTACTCTTCGTCTACAGTCTACACATGCCAAACCACCTGCAGCGTCGCTGCTTTCTCGCCAAACCAAGCGGTCGCTCACAGCGGTCGTCAATTGGAGCTCTCGAACCCATCCTGAAGCCATGCTTGAAAATCGATTGGCTGCCAGCTTGCGAACGGCGATGCGTGCAGAGTCTCATCGAATGAAAGTGTTTTTCGTTGGAATGCTTGTGAGAACGGTTGTGAATGGTTGGATTGATCATGATGTGTCGGTCTTTGTGACTAACTCCCACGAGGATCATTTAGCTTCTAGATATCCAGTTGGGACGAGAATAGAACGGATGTTACTTGGAAAGTCTAGGTGGCTTGAGGCTTCCTACATTCTCCCCGGTGGCTATCAATTATAGCTAGGGACAATAGATTCTCATCTGCCTAATGGCAGCACTCGTTGCATAACCAGTATACTGACTACCAGTCCAAGCTGGTGGATTCCAATGTCTATTCCCAATGTCTGGATATTCGTCTCGCCAAAACGGCAGCCGCTTCACCGCTTCACTCCAAGACGACTGGATCGCACGTGCACGAAGCCGACAGACTCCAAAGCCTAGAAACTACAGCCGCTTCTGTGGCTGGGGAAACTGGGGACAACCCACTTGCCAGGGCTACGTCGCTCTCGTGATGCTGAGTGTTCATCGCGCAAAATCCAGGTGAAACTCGACTCGCGAAGACTCGCCAAGTGGAGTTGGACGATGAACGAACTGGTGAATTGCAACGATGAACCGTCCGGACCGTCGGCGATGTGTATGAACCTTGCGTGAAAGAACAAAAGGTGAGAAGTTGTTGATGCCTTGGATGGGTTTTGTCACGGCTATATATTGAGCAAACCGGAGCCCATGATAACTCATGATAACTCATCAAAGCTGAACCAAAGCTAAACACCGAGTAGCTCGAGCTACCGATCTTGTTGAAGGCTATAGGCCCTATAGGCTATAGGTGTCAAGTCCCAATTTTCAACTTAGTAGGTGTTTGAAAGATGTTTTTGCATTGCCATCACCTTCTTCAAACCCAACAAACGAGGGAGTAGCGGACCTTGGAGTGGCGGACGGTCCACGTCGTTCTTTTTCACCCGAAGGCGACGCAGCCCAGCATTCCTAAACCGCTCCAAGCCAGCTTGACCCCACGTGCGCTCTTGCGCATCCATCTGTGGGGTCTTAAAGAGAAGCTTCAGAAGATTCGATCGGGGCGGGGACTTGAAAAAGATCTTCGGGATGTAATGGCTACAAAGCCTTTGGTTTGAGCTCCTTTCGATGAAAACTCGATAAAGATCCGCAGCAAAAACATGAAAATTCACGTGAGACCCCCGAAACGAAGCCGCTGCTGACACTTACTCTAACCAGGCCTCGGTAAAAACCTGCATAGAATGTCATTCCCATTGTCTGAAAATGAGCGAACGTGACCATGAACCTGTGGAAGGAATGTAAGGGAAAGCAGGACATTGAAAAATCCTGAATTGGCTTAGTCTCCAGTAGAGATGGGTGTGGTATGGTATGATGCACGTTTCCTTCTATGTGTTTTTGATAGATTCTTCTACTGTGGAGACTGAGATAAACGCAGTTCATTCCCTTTCTTTCAACTCAACTGCGCATGTTTGAGCCTCGACCCCAACCACTGCTCCAAGACTACTCCAGACCGACAGCGCTGACTCTGGACGGAGAGCACAGTCAGACAGAGCCATACGACGTCATGCCAGTCACACTACATATGCGACCACTCTCTCCCACTGTGGAAGCTCATCTCCTGACAAGTCACAAATCTTCCAATGATTTGCTTGAGGAACCTGGAAACATGTCCTGCAACCGGTGTTTTTTCTTCCTCCAACGAACCTTCCGCACGAACGGGGGAGATGGACCTCTCTTGAGTGGGCCGCTGGGAGACGACCTTTCTTCGCCTCCACGGCAAGACACGATGTGGAAAAGCTCGGCGGGACAAAGTCGCAGCGCCCTGTGGCACGGTTGGCCAATCTAAAAAGTCGCAAACGTGCAACGCCAAAACTTGGCGCTTGACTGCGCATCATGCGCGGAACCGGCAGCAAGTGATGGTTGGCTGATGGCTCCGCTAGGCAACAGAGCCGTGTGAACGTGCATTTGAAGAAAGAGGGGGTCGCTCATGGAAAACTCAACGATCTCATCTCTGCAGGACTGTCCAAAGTGCAAAAAGAATCCAAGCTTCTGTGAACACTTCATACAGTACCAAGGGATGCAAGCGACATATGATATTATATATTTATATTTATATAATATGGTTGGATTACTTTCCATGCAGAGGAGTTGGTAAGCGGAATAGACTAACGGTCTGCGAGCACATGTTCAGATGGAATGGTGGCAGGAGGCCTTACATTTGTTCAACCTACAACATCTACAACTCACCATGGTCCAAAACCACAGTGTTTTGGTAACAAATCCAATCAGCTATCTTAAAATTACATCATATCAGCTTTCAGATAGCTGTCCGAAGTAAATGGCATCATACCTGCCAGACTACAAACAGCCAGCTGCCAACCTGCTTTGACTGATCAGCCTAGCCACACACCGATCGTCTGATCTTCAGCTGCCGGGGTTTTGCCTGTCAGACCTTTGGACAGGCCCGTTCGTTTCCAAAAAATCGTCGAACTTCCTTCCGAAAACCGACCATCGAACGATGAACATGAGTTCGATGTTCCTCCTTCCTGGCTGCGAATTGACTGAACTGAAGATCACGCCAAACGCCAAAAGGATTGGTTCAACTCTTGCTACCAGCCAGTGGAGTGCGTATTTAATTCTTGGTGGAAGGTCCAACTATGTAAGGCAGAGGTGTGCTCTTGGTGAGAGGCTCTTTTTGGTTTTGGTCGGGTCATTGAGCATCAATAACTACCATTGACCTTCGTTTATATACTATGATTCGTTCGCAAATTGTCAGGGAATCTGATAGAAAGCTCAACCTTGCGGGCTAATACACCCTCATACATCATCAGATGGGATCCAACAGCTTGATTGGTACCTGAAAGAGTATCAATATCACAATGTATCACAGTATCTCAAAAGAAAAGCTCTGACTTTCACATCCTTTCACCAGTCCTCAAACACCTCAAACACTTGCTCCTTCCTCAAGCTTCCTTCTCCTTCTCACTCGACGGTGTCGCCGCGCCAGGCAGCTTCTCCGTGGCTGTGGCCGGGCCCGTGGCCGTGACCAGGCCCGGCAGCTTCGTCTCCAGGGTCGAACTGGCGCGCCTGGGTCGAACTCGCTCGCTCGCTCGCAGTCGGAGTCGGTCCAGTCCAGTCCGCGAGAGCGCGCTGGAGGGAGCGGGTGGTCGTTTTGCGATGTGCGCGTTTTGCGACCCGCGAGCGTGTGGTGACAGCGCCGTCTTTCAGGTGATGTTTTGATAATATAGGCTACTTCTTAGGGCATGTGCAGCATCTGTATGTTTAGAAAGCTCGCTCTTTGGTTGAAAGAAATGGACGGAGATAAAGAACCTGGTCATCAATGGTCATCCATTTAATATGCCACGGGAAGATTGATTTGTCGCCGTTTGATGGTGCGCAGGCAAAATGTTGCACTGATCCTTGAAGTCAAATCACATCAATAATATGGAAGGCATTTGATGCTTGGTATGAAATACCATCGAATCATCCGGAATCATTGCAACTGC